CAAATTACTAGTGGAAAGGATGTGGGTTTTATTACTGTGCAGCCTAACTTCACATTAAATTCTAAGTGGAACTGCCATGTAAGCTCATTTCTTAATTTCAGCTCTCAAGTGCAAACACTAAATTCATTTCCACAAAACACAATGAGATTGCTATTCTGCATTAAATTTTGCTCGATTTCATATTAATGAGATCACTTAAAATGTAATCAGTACTTGCTATGTGCACTATTCTTAAGGCCTTACAAAATGAATCTATCTAGTCTTATAACAACCTTATGAGGTAGACACTATTAATATTATAACAAATGTCAACATGCCTAGCACAGTGCCTCATACATAAAATTAAATGTCTGAATTTAAAATGAATCTCAAAACGTGACTTTCACAAAAATTTTCAGATTAACAAGGTATTGAAGAGGTTGATGATAGAGTAAATGTATATTTTCAATATGAGTCTGCTGCACAAGATAACTCTACCGGTTAAAATAATTTTTCTTATTGTATGTTGGCAGCTACATGAGGAAAGAGCTAACAATTGGCTTCTTTGTCTCATAATAAGCTTAGTGGCCAAAGAGAAAGCAGGTTCTCAAATGAGGGCACACAGAGGTAAGCCTAATACATCAGCTCATTTTTTTTAAAGAAACATTGTTTTCAACGTTCCCATTATTTCACTTTATAATTTCAGCAATTTCACTGGAAAAAAAGCAATTATTGGGTAACACAAGATTTCATGGTGATGCCTGCCAAATTGGTACTGATCCAACTTTTTAACCTACTGTAAACCCTTCTAATAAACTGAACGCCTTTGTGGCACTGTGGGTTTGTGGCACTGAGCCGAAAGGTCAGTTTGAACTGCAAGGTCGGTGGTTCAAATTCACTAGCTGCTTCTTAGAAACCCCATACAGGGTTGCTATGAGTTGGAACCAAGTCGACGGCACTTTAACAACAATAACTTAAAAGTTGATGGTTTAAACCCACCCAGCAAGCAGTGCTGTGGAAGAGAGGGCTCGTGATCTGCTTCTGTTATGAATGAATAGTTAAAAAAAAAAAATTCTATGGAGCAGCTCTACTCTGTAACCCACGGGTGGCCAACTCAACAGCAATAACAAAACAGCAAAGGGCACTACCCTTTTCAGAAGTGGCACATCCGACTTCGCTTTTTGTAGGAAGGGAAAGAGGGAGGCAGAGTAAATGCTAACCAATTTTCATTACAGCTTCTTTCAAGCCTTCAAGAGTCCTCTTAGAGAGCATCATTACACCGTATAATCCTAACACATAAAGAGTGCCTTTTACATCAGAATCTGCTGATAATAAACTGAATTAAAAAAAAAAAAAAAACCACAGAAGTGACAAAATTAGAAGAGAATAGGAGAGGGATAGGGAAGTTACCAGCCCTTGGGAGGCAAGACCGCCATCATCTACAACCACTGATTTGACCTCCAAAAACCACTGAACCCTGCACCAGACAACACTATAGGTGCTCAGTCTGCTTATGAGATTAAAGTACATTTGGGGGTAAAGGTCCTATCTTTGTTTCCTACAAGTCAAGGGGCACCAGTTTCATGGTCAAAACCTTCCCTTTTAATATTGACCTCTCACAAATACTATTGTATGTCTTTAAAAGAGTCAGGAAAGAGAGTATGTACCAGTCAGTGCAGATCTAACCCATCACTGGAAATCCTGGCCTGGGAGTCAGCCCAACGTGTAATCTCATCTAGAAAGCGTTCCTTGGGCTTCAGGGTCAGACCTATGTGGATAAAGAAACCAAGCTCTGATACTGACTAGTTCTGTGTGTGACCTTGTTAAAGTTAATTTTTCAGAGCTTTGAAGATAAAACTGTCTCAGAAATCCTAAAGAGTAACTTCTATTGTCCTATGAGTCGGAATCAACTCGGTGATAATGGGTTAGATATAAAGCTCATTGTTATTAAGTGCTGTTGAGTCGGTTTCAACCCACAGCAACCCTGTACAGGGTTTCCGAAGAGCAGCTGGTGAGCTTGAACCATTGACCTTGAAGTTCAAACAGCTTTGCAGTCTGGCACCACACCAGGACTCTATAAAGCTCATTAAGGGTCTCAAACAAAACTCACTAAGGGTCTCAAATTGAGTATGGCTTATAAAGGATGCTTAAGCAACACTGGCCCTGGTTTCTTCCTCAACAGGTACAAGCACGGGGAATGGGACCAGGACCACTTCTGTCCAGGTCACGGTTTGCTACAAATTATCTGTAACAGACTGGATAAGTACCAGCCTCCACTTTTTCAAAAAGCTAGGATAATTAAGAAAATACAACAAATAATAATAATAAATTCTTTTAAATTGTAAATAATTGTCATTACTATCTGATGCACTTCCTGACAGTGTTTCTCAATGTATGGTCTGGGAACTACATGTATCAGAATGACCTGGGATGTCTGTTAAATAACTAGATTCCACGTCCTACCCTGCGAGAGCTCGTCCAGAATGGTGCCAGTGATAGTTCACTTCTGAACCAAACATTCTTGAGATGCATACTAAAATGTAAGAATCATTCATCTAGAAGGTCTTGTGCTATGTCACAGTAAATGAAGACTTGCCTTCCAGTTCTTGTTCTTTATACTATGACAAGAGACTATCTAAAACATTAGTATTTTGGCACTTTTTTGAGTACAGACATTAAAACTATAGGATTACAATTCTTAGGTTCATTCTTACTATTTTTTCTCCAGTGGTGTTACTCTTTTTCCTCGGACCAGGAGTGGACAAACTACACACTTGGTCCACAGCCAATTATATATAACCCCTGAGCGAAGAATAATGTTTGGTGGGGTTTTTTTTTTGCATGTTTACAGGGCTGTAAAAAGAAATGAAAAAGAATCTGCAATCAAGACCATTTGGCTCTTTACAAAAAGTTTGTCCATCCTTTAAAAAATCTACAATTGTTTTTTTAATAACAGTGGGTACATACACAATTCACCTTTTTCTTTTTAACAAAAGAGAACTGATCAGAATAAAAGATATCCGAAAGTACTGCACCTACTCGAGGAAACACAAAGGTGAACAAGATTCAGTTATACATGTATACACATGTGTGAATGGGATCATGGCCAAATTATTTTGGATGCACTCTAAAGTTTTAAAATCCCTGGGGAAAAATGCATAGTACAGTGAGTTAATAAAGAAAGAAAAATTCACATTGAGTACATTTCACAGCAAAGGTGTCTTAGAAACAACAGCAACATAAAATGATCCCCGCTATTTAAAATTTAACTGCCTATTTCTTTTTTTGAAAAAACAGAAATAAAATCTGTTCTTCATACAATGTACATTATTGTAAGGAATAAAATGGAACCATCAATTCAAAAGCACTTCAAAAGCATCATGTGAAGTATTATGACTCATATTAACAATACAGTATCTTGAACATGCCTAAGTTCTTTACAAGTCCCTTAGTTCCTAGATTCCCCCAACCTGGGAAAACCACGTGTGTGTGTGTGTGTGTGTGTGTGTGTGAAGAGCATAACAGAAGTATAAGATAGATGCTTTTGTCCTTTTTTTAAAAATCCATGGTTCATCCATTGGTTTCTGCCAATACACTTTTATCCTTCTCTTGTTTTTAGAAAGGAACGCATTTCATAAATTCTTGTGGGGGAAAAAAAAGTGAAGACTATAATTAGTCTATCCTGAGAAACACCAGGAGTTCAAATTTTTAAATGTTACAGTAACAATCTTCTTTTGTCCTCACAGAACACTAATTTCCAGGGTTTGTGTAAGGGCTTTGGGCAAGTCAAAATTACATTGATTTTACAACCATTTCAACATGTAATTCTGTAAAGAAAAGAAACACCGTTTTGGGAATACATACAAGGAAATGAAAGGCCACCTTAAAATGTTTTCATGATATGAAATGCACTGCAGACACACAAATCACAAGCAGTGTGAATAAAAGCTGGCGCAACGCTGCCTGCCTGTTTGCCTTACGCCACAAAGAGACTACTCGCACATTTACACACCACAGTACTTTAGTTTAGGATGCCATAAAGATAGGATTTAGTTATGTTGTGTAAATACGGGAAGTTGTGAGTGTGTGTGTGTTGTGTGTGTTGGGGATGTAAGCATATGGGGAGGGACTTGCCAATTATTTTTTCTTTCCCATTCATTCTTTTCAGCTTCAGTGTCTTTACAATTACTCACTAGCTTTTCATTCTAAAGACAACCAACATGCTTTCAGAACTTCCTACAGTGTTTCTCACACAACTTAGATATACATATTAAAAAGCAATCATTAAGTATGTGTGTTAAATAAAAAGCAAACCATTATCCAGTTTCCACATTCCAAAGGCCCCATGGGTTGCAAGCAAAGTAGAATCCTTTGTTGTGTCCAAAATTAACATGGCACAGTACTGGCTAATTGGAAAATAATAGATTACTTTTGTTTCTAAGAATGTCACGGCTATTACCATAAATTTTGTTCTGCCCAGTGAATGTAATTTCATGGTTCTTTGAATGAATCTGCCGTTTTAACAAGGATACCGTCAATGAAATGTAACACTCTCCTTTTCTTTCTGGACACTCCATTAACCAATATGAGCGTCGAAAAGAACGCCAAGGAAGGCCGTTTCCTCCACGCACAATGGTATCCGTCTTCAACCACAGAGAAAGTTGTCTTTCTCGTAGTTACCCACGCCAAGCCGGCCCTCCACTACCTCCATTCTCAGGACAAGAAGGGGCAAATGGGCGGGGAAGCACCGTTACCTTTCAGCTCTCCACCCCCGCCCCTACCCCAGGAAGGGAAGTGGGAAGGGCATGACAAGAGAGTAGGAAGGTGGGCGAGTGGGAGACAGAAATGGATGCTGAGGGGGTGGGCGTGATGGCAAGGTAGAAAAGGTAGAGAATGCGGGGAGAGGTGCGGAAGGCAAGAGATTCAATTAAAGCGCAAAGAGGGAAATGGCGATCGGGGCTCAGGAGCCCCGGTGGCTCAGGGGGTCCGGGAGACTCGGGCTGTGGGGGTCCGGGCCTCACCGTTGAACGCCCCTGCGTCCGCGGCCTCCTCCTCCTCCCCGTTCTCGGAGTCGGCGTGCATGGGCTCCTCGGCAAAGTTGACTCCTTTGATGGGGGTGCCGCCCCCGGCGGCGGCGCCCGAGTCCCCCCAGGTCCTGCCCTCATGGCTGAAGCGCGCGGCGCCTTTGCGCTCGTTCTCCTGCTGCAGGCGTGTGAAGTGCTGCAGCGCGAACTCCAGCAGGTCTGTGGGCTGGTGCCTCAGCACCTCCACCGTGAAGCCCTGCAGCAGCTCCGTCAGCCCCGCCGGGATCTCGATGCTCATCCTGCCTCCGGGGCGGCGGGCGCCTGAGCGCCGAGTCCCTGGGCTGCGCCGCGCGGGCGGCCGCCGCCCTCACCCCTTCCCCG